AAATGGCTTAATGATAGTTATTAAAATCCATTACAATGGTTCTAATTGGTTAATGTCCATGGCTTTAATTTCCACTGTAATCCTAAAATTCAGTAGAAGGAATAAAAATAATGAAATGCAGTGATGGGCCTGTACAGCTGTGGGATTTTTTCATTCACTATATTGATTGCAAACATCTTCTTCCATTTTTCATACTCAGTATTTTTATCTGTTGCTCCCAGAATAGATTTAAAATAAGCTTAATTTTTTAAATTGCTGCTAATATTAGCCTAAAGCTTGGAAAGCCTTGTCCAAATTGTGGTTTGCTTGTGTGTGTGTGTTTTTTTGTTCCTGTTTTCTGGCTTCTGGTGGGTTTGGTTTGGGACGGGGGGATGGATGTTTTGTTGTATGTTGGGTATGGGAAGGTATGTTGGGAAGGGAAGTGCCATACAGTAAAACAGTATTTTTGCTGTGGATGGCTTAGACTGAGTTAGGAGTGTGATGCTTTTTTCATGTAGAAGATCCCTTCAAGGCTGTCTATTTAGACACAGAGACAAGCACTTCAATTTTCTTTAAGTGGATCTTGGTATTATAGCTACAAGAAGAAACAGTGTCATTGTACTTGGCCGTATGATGAACAGGGTACCTGCTTCTTTCATCACATCAGGCAAAGCATTCCTGCCTGCTCAAGGCGTGATCTTATATCTGCATCATTTCTATATTGTAATAAGTGTCCAGCTGGACATGAACTTTGATAGTCACTACAGCCATTTTTTACAACCATTTAGATCCATGTTTTGTGAAAAAAAAACAACAACAAACAAACAAACAAACAACATATTATCTGGAAGACCTTTTCTGTAAAGGAAAGGTTTTTCTCTTTTTTTTTTTTTTTTTTTTTTTGTGCCTTGGAACCATCAAATACTTCAGGGTGGAATGGACCCTTGGAGGTCTTCTCCCTTCTCTTTGCCTAGTCTGTATTTCACACTTGGTCAGAAAATTGAACCTTCTGATTTGAGTGTAGTACTGTCCTGAGCTTTGAGTGATAATGTTCAAGTGCCTGCACATCCCATTTGCAGGGTGCTCCAACACTGGTCATAATGAAAGTTGGATTCTGTCATACTAAGAACAGTGAACCTAGAGGTGTGCATCATTGATGGTGCCTTAACTCACCCCTGCCTCACTTGTGGAAAAGAATTGATTGCAAGCTGGACCATGAATGCTTTGTTACAGGGCTATGCAGCTTAAGGTGCAGAAGCGTTAAAAAATTCCCATACAGTGCCAGTGTAATCCTGCACTACCTGTTCATAGCTTTTGTTTTTCTAGGCTATTCAGGAACAAATGAAAATCCATGGACAAGAACCTGTTTCTTTTCAGGATGTCAAGGTTAGTTTTACTGAATAGAGAACAACGTGAAATATTTAATAAGCATTTCATTATTAGCTCATTATATTACAGTCTCTAGGTTGTTGTATATTTACTTGCAAAGTAGTACTGATGATCTGACTTGTCCTTCTCATAGGTTTGAAAATGTCTTTCTATTTAGCAGTTGCTCTTTAAGAAATCTGGTGTGCAACTGTCCTAGTAGTTTCCTTACTAATAGACAAAGTGTCAAATACACCTTGCTGTGCCTTACACTTGAAGATACTTGATATGTCTATTTTGTGGCTCAGGATCATACCTCAGGAAGGGGGGGTGGTGGCCTGCTGACTAAGAAAATTCCTGTCCATAAAACTGTCCTTATTATTGCCTACTTTAAATCTAGCAGTTTTAGTACTTAAAAAAAAAAAAAAAAAAAAAAGAGTACAAGAGTTTCTGTAATACTTGGCTCATACAGGTAAACAGTTTCAAATTACCACTTGGAGGCCAAAGCCTCCCCAGAAAAGCAAATTCTTATTTGAGATGTGGGAGCTGAGCACACTGCTCCTATCTGTAGCCAGTTATTGTGCTTTGTATCTTAAATGGTTAGGGACTTTTAACAGCTTCTTGTCTTTCTAAATCAGTGTGGGTGGCACTAGTTACCCAAAGATCATTCTATGTATGACATAAAGTTGCCATTATTCTGCTCATTAATGTATTGGGGGTTTTTTCCCTCTCAATTTTTACTTTCCTTTCATAGGATGAAATATTTGATATGGTGAAGCCTAAGGATCCTTACAAAATCTCTCTTCAAGACTTAATCAATAGCAGCCAAGGAGACACTGTTACCAGCATTCTAATTGATCTGAATGGTTTCTGGACATACGAGAACAGAGAGGTCCTTGTGGCAAGTGATAATGACAACACTGCTGATGTTGATGATACGTGACTTTGAACAGGAGGAGACTGTATCCATAGAGACTCTCAAACTGATGCAGCAACTGTTGGAAGCTGGAAACACTCATCATGTGAACCAGTGGCTCTTCCATTTTACTTCCATTCCCTTTCTCTCTTATCTCCTTCCCTCTGTATCATTTAAAACATGGTACTTACAGGAACAGCAGAACTGGTTTCTGAAATCAAAAATCAAGTGTTGTTCAAGAGGTAAAAATTACTACTTTTTTTTTTTTTTAAATAAATGTTTTTGGACTTTTTCACCATGTACCAACCCCTATTCTTATTTGAATACCGTATTCTAAATGTGAATTTACCCTTAAAGTAAGGATGTGATTCCTGGTACCTTCAGCACTGGCCTGTACCCATTCAGCCATCCCAGGCTTCCTACTGCATTCTGAATGGCTTCCTCTAATGATAGCAGTGTTGAGCATTCTGTTGTAAAGGCAAAAGTCCTCAGTAAGGCACGAAGATTTTAGAACTTTTTTTTCCTGTATAAATGTCCAGCTTTCTGTTAGACATTTGAAGGGTAAGTAAGTAACTGTTGAGCTGACTGAACAGTTACAGATTTCTTCAGAGGTTCATTAGCAGAAACAAAACTGCAGTAGCTTTAGGTCCAGTTAAAATTAATCCAAACACACGTATAAAGCCTTTTCACCAACTTAACCTCCTTTGCAAGTATTTAATGTAATTTAAATTAATTGTACAGCTGAGTTACAGCAGTGATGCTCTCTTCAACAAAGCTGTAGAAATGTTTTGACTTTCAAAATTACAGTAGCTCAAGGCCAAAGGTGGTTGCAGTCCTACATTATTTATTAGTTTGAGGTGATGCTGAACACAGTACAAGTGCTGCATGAGACTGTAAGGAAGAAGTGGTGGTAGTGTGATCTTTTCAATCTTAGTGCTTGAATATTCTACCAGGATGTGTGACTCAGTAAAGATGGAAATAGGGAGCAGCCACATGCTCCTGTGTTTGTAGGCATAAAGTTTTGAAGACCACACAGTTTTAAAGGAAAAGCCATAGCCAGCTTCCAATTAAAAAATTATATTAAATACAAAATAACCAATTAATGCATTTACAGAAAACCATTATGAAAGTAGCCGCTTTCATACAGTTTGCTAAAAACTGAAGTAAGGATTAAGTTAAGGCACAGTGAGTAATACAGTATTTTATACAAAGAAGTTTAAACCCAAGGCAGTGAATTTCTGATGCAACACATAGTAGGAAGAGAGGCAAAAAAAAAAAAGGAAACAACACTGACATTAATTTCTTGGCAGAAAAGCAAAGCATCCTTCAGCTGTAAAGGTTTTACTCTTGAGCTTTGTGAGGCTATCTTTGACAGTATAAGAACTCCCAACTAGCTGTTCTTCTGTGTATTCCCCAGGTGTTGAACTAAGCTCTTCCTTGCAGATGTTCAGAGCTAAGGACTGGTTTTACACAGCTGTCAAAACCCTCTGTCTTACAATTCAAAAAGAAGACAAAGAACAAGACATCAAAACAGATGAAATAGAGCTGATGATTAAATCAGGAGATTTTTCTGTCATGCCGGAGTGCTGAGGGCAGATGATAGGAGAAGGAATTTGTGCTCTACAGGACACTGGTTCAGGCAGAATGTCTGAAATACCTAACTGAACTCTGGAAACTGACAGCCAAGTTACCTGGCTTCTAATATGACATCAGACTCCTTGGTTGGTAGTGGGACCAAGGCCAGGGACATGGGATGCAACCAACACAAAACGTCACTGAAGACTCTTTTAAATATTTTTTTCAGAAATCTCAAGGACAGAATAGTGTTTCACATGGTAATTAGTGCAGGTTCTCTGCTCCTTTCTATAGTGATTCCCTATAGAAAGTAACTGGGGCACCGACATCCTATTGTCACAAACCTTCCACCTAAAAGCTACAAGCAGAATGACTGCAGTAAAACAGCCTTAACTGGTATTTGGGACTACTTGAAAGCTCTAGAGCTACCTCCACTTCACTTTTGACAACAACTAATATTACTGTTGTTGCAGTATTGCAAGAAAGTGTTTTGTTTATTTAAGATAAAGGAAGTATCAATAAGGTTGTGATTTTCAGTTATTTATGTGCTCTGTGGCGGGGGGGAGGAGAAAATATCTGCAATGGTAATTTAACAAGCAAATGATCTGTTTAGGTTTTTCAAGTATACTGACTCAGGTAATGTACATCCAAAAAAAGTTTTCATAGTTCTAGATTGGTACCATGCACAGTGTCCAGTACATTCAGTATAATTTAGCAAGGCTTCCCAGGACCATTCAGAGCATGTGAAGTACTCGAGCAGGTGGGTCTCTTACTGGAGCAAGAATATCCTACACTGATGCTAGTTCTGTACTTTGCTACAGCACTAAATGGAGCAGCTGAGCTCTCTTAGCCTCAAAGAGGGCTAGTACTTCTTAACTTCTAAAGGGTGTTTGCAGCCTCCTCTGAAGTTTTGGGGTTTTTTTAATTAAAAAAAAGAAGTTAGTGGACCCTTACATATAATTAACATTAAATCTGACATTATCTCTTGTGTTAAACAATGGAAAAAAGATACATGCATACAACAGTGACAATAAATAGGGGAAATCAGACACTTAGAATGACTCAGGAGTTACAGGATGTTGATTCCTATTAATCTATTCATAGAGAGCTGAGTTGCAAACACTGTGCAAATCAGAAACAGTTGTTGAGAAGCAGGGAGCGGCGCTGCATCCACAAGCGTTAGAGACAGCAATTCAAACAAAAGTCATTTTTACTTGCTTTACACAGAAATTAGCTCACACATTCCATTTTTGATCAAATGTTTGTAGTGCAATTTTTGTTCTAACTGAAGTGCCAATCTGGCAGAATGCCTCACCCTGTATTAGGTGGACAGACTGAACAGACGGGGCCTAGCTCTCTCCTGATCAATAAGAATGCAAGAAGTTTTATTTCACTGAACAAATATAACCCTATTTTTCCTGCTCCTTCTAGCCAGATTGTGGCACCTGACACTTCTATTTCCTACATTATACAGACCTTTATGCTTAAGGAGGGACAGGAACTACATCTTGTTTATTTTCCCCAATGGACTGGGAAGCTCCCTCATTTTCAAAGTTCACATTCATGAATGAAGTGCATGCTGTTGCTTCAGGCTGGTCTGTCTGGACAGGAGCTTCTGCATGTGGCTTGTTCAGCTGTTCCTGATGCTGTCTTTCTGCTTCTTCTGACAGCTTGTTTTCCTGTTCCTCCTCTTCCTCCTAAAAATAGCCAGATTTGCAAGCTACTATTTACCACTTACTACATTCACTTCAAGTCTGTAAGAGTAGGCCAGTTCCTATGACGGAACAAGGACAGCTGTCCCACTAGAAAATGGTCACTAGTTGATCATAAGATGAGGTGTATTTCAGAATTGACAGTATAAGAAAAAAGTAAATCACCAAAAGTGAAGGATTAAACTGTGTTAAATTAAGAGAAAATGTCATGTGTCTAGATAAGCAGTTTTTAGTCAATAGCAATATTGATGGGTTCTCTCAGGCTTTTTCAACTCTTAATAATAAAGAGCTACCAAAAAAAAAATAAGTAGTAAAGCTCTAAATATGTTTCCTATCCCCTCCAAATGAAAATTATTATAGCTACCTATCAGTCATTTCCATTTATGGTTTACAACAAATGGTAGCATCGTGTTCAATTCACCTGTGACACTTCGTTGACCAAGGTTTAGAGATGGGAAGTATGTGCCTCGCAGTGGCCCCTTTACAGTGTCCAGTAACTGCTCCATCCAGCTTTCTTACACCATTGACTTGAAAGTGCATTGTCCAAGTGAAATACATAGAGCAGTGATCAGCACCCAGCCAGTTCTGAGACTGAGGAACTGGTGAGTAAAGGCAGACTGATAAGCAAGCATTAATCATGCAGCAAATGAAAACTGAAGGCAAGCTGGAACAGAGGTTCTAAAATTTCATTTTAATGCTGGAATACTATTTTTTTTAAATAGCAGGGAAGGCAGTGTGGGAGAAAAGGAATGCCAGAACCCTATCTCACATACATACCTCTCTCTTCATTCTGTAATACTCATCAATGGCATATTGGTATTTTGGTGTGCTTATTCCCAAAACAGATGCAATCTTTTCCCCAAGGAAATCACACACTAAAAAATAAAGAGAGATTTACTTAAAATTAGTATCTAGAAGAAAATTCTGAAGCACAGTTTTATTTTAAAAGGTATCCTCTTTCCTGAATGGTTTTCCATAGTCCCACTTGACTCAAAAGACAAAACCAAAATCTGCTCGGCTAACCTACTTCACATGTAATTATTAGCTCAAGATACTAATAATTGTTCTTCAAGATAAAGAACAGAAAGAAGGACATGGAAATCAATGACAATCTAAATGCTGGTAGTGTTTGTTTGAATTCTACTAGTCTCAGCTCTGGATCTAGGTTTGTTTTGCTAGGGGATCAGTTAAAGGATAAGCCTCTACCTGAACTTTAACTGCAAATTAAAGTTAGACAAAAATACATTGGTATCAACTGTACTGGCAATTCAGTCTAATGGTACCAGGAAACTAGAGAGTTACTTACTTACACCTGCACACTTTGAGTCAATAGCAGTTTTAACAATGTTCTGTGTTGCATACTAATGGATTAATAAAATATTTAGGTTTCAGCTGTCTCAGTTTTCAAGCTGGACACTCCATGCAGGCACTATCAAACAGGCAGCACACTGCCAGAAGCATGGAACAAGTGGGCTTGTGTCAGTCAGTCTCTTTACCATGCTGATGGCTACAGAACTGGCTCTTGAGTAAAGGCAAGAAAGAAGTCAAATATATTGCACTACAAAGCCATACCTGATAAGGTTGATGTGGCAACTCGCAGCATGTGAAACCACAAGTAGGGTCCCCATGTGAGTGTTGTCTGTAAGAAGGGTAGTATCAATATGTACAGTTGTACATTCATGGCACAAAATAAGACATGCAAAAACTCAGATTGTGAAGAAAAATCTGCGATGTTCCCTGTTTGCCAGCTACCACAATATTTTTGCTTTAAAATAAATCTAGACCAGACATATAAATGTAATATAAGCATGGTTTACATCTAAGAACATGTTTCACTGTTTTATTCCCACTCACAGACTTGGGGAAAGGACAAGCATCTGACTCACTCCCAAGGCAACTCCTAGAAACGGAAAGACCCTTCTGTAATGTTCTGAATTCCACCAAAGAAGTGGGTTAACCAAGTAGTCCTTCATTACAATAATGAGAACTGCAAAAAGCCTGTAAAACCAAACCAAACCTTCAAAGTGGTCCTTGAGCAAGAGGCATTTACCACCAGAACAAATTCTCATTGCACCTGAAGAACAAAACCAGGAACCACGAAGGAGGGAGAGAGCTACCCAGCTCTGAGGGAGCAATGAACAGGCTGACAAGCAAAGTGCGTGGGGTGATGTGAGCAACCAGGAACACAAAATGAACAAAACTGGGCTAAAGTGGGGCACCTCAAGCATTGGCATGTAAGCAAGGTAGTCCCTCCAAAGTGCTTTCAGACTAAGGCACAAAGTGTAGGAAGTAAGCATGAGGAATAGGAGATCCATGTGCAACTGGAGGCTGGGACCTTGTTGGGATCTCAGAGGTGTGGTGAATGGCTCACATGACTGGAGTCCTGCAACGGACTGGACGGGAATATAGGCAGGGGGAGTTGCCCTTTGCATGATTATGCTGCATTCACTGCCACAACGGAAGTACTGCAGCCTCCAGACAAACTGACATACACATAGGAAATTAAAGCAAATTTAGAAATTAATGGGCTTACATAGGCAATCCTGTTTGCTATAGAAAGAGGCTGTTTCTCTTTAAAAATAAACCAACAAAACCAACAAACCAAACCACTCAAAAACAACAAAAAAACAAACAACAAAGCTGTGTAATAAAAAGGAGAAAAGAAAAAGCAGATTCCTGTCTAACAGGGAAAAAGTTGTAAGCTTTCACTTTTGTGAAAAGGCAAAATGAAACTTCATGGTGAACTGAAGCATGTTTATAATTAGCAGTCTGTTGTATTGATGCAGGTTCTTTGTTACGTATTTCCCCTCAGTAAAGATCTCTGCAGAGTTGGTACTTGTGGAAAATAGCACTAAAAAGGGTCAGTTTTTCTTAAATGAACTCCATTTGCATGACTCAGTCACGTACGTTACATAACTTGTTGCTAAAAACTGTTTGATAACAACCATTTTCTGTGATCTTATTTAAGAGATTTCTGTACAGGACAATCAGTATTACTGTAAACAATACAGCCTCTGGGTCTAATTGATACAGCCTCAGTATGAATGTACACAAGCTACTAGGCTTAAGTGCTTTTCAAAAAACAGCCTCTACAAATCAGTGCAGTAAGAAATAATTTCTCAAGCCAGAAACTCAAGTTGGGCAGGCTCAAAAAAGCCAGGTGAGACATATTTTTGGCAGTGGATATGGAAAATGTCCTGCCAAGGTAGAAGTGTAAGCAAAACCAGCTGCTATCCTGCTTGCACAAAAGCACCTCCAGCTTGTTGATTATGTGCTCAGTTGGCAGGCAGTTGAAGAAGTCTAGAAAAGTGCTGGAAAAGCTTGTTGCCACAGGTGCAAATAATGGCACTGATGAGGTTCAGTACAATCCTTCTTAACAGGTGACAAGGTTAAAAAGCATTCACACAATGCACAGGACAAAAAAGAGCCTGCTGTGGGGCCATAAGCAAGAAGCTACAAGAGTCCCATTATCATTTAAGAGTGATAAGACAAGCTGAACTTCAACGTGACAGAAGTAATTCAGACACAGGACACTCTAATATGTTTGTGGCAAGACAGAGGAAGGGACACCTGAGGCTAAGCAGACACCAAGGCTCTGTCTATTTCTGCTGACCCCCCACCCCCCATTAGAAAACAGCTTGGTACGTTAGAAGCACTTCTAAGTTCAGCTTCCTGGAAACTCTGCTTTCTCACAAAGGCCAACCAGATACTTCTTCACCCCTGACCAGAAAGGTCTTGCCAGTCCCTTCAATTTAAAAAATGAGCATTTCAAGCGTCTCAAAAGGCAATATAAAACCGTGAGAGAAGTTACTTCACACAAATTCAACAAGAGAAAGGAGATGGCTTGGAGACTAAGCTACAAAGAACAACCAGGAACATGTGAACACATTCAAGGAATAATCCTCCATTTTCTCCCCCCCTTAGTTCCTCAGAGTAAGTGTAGCTGGTTTGCCAGAGCACCCTGGAGATCACTGCAGGAATGGTGAACATGAAGTGAGAAGAGGCACTGGAGACAACCAGAACCATTTGGGTGATACGAACAAAGCTGTTAGGCAATGGTTCAGTACAAACTAATCCTACACGATGAAGGAGCTTTAATGCACGGAGCAATACTGGAAAATGGTCCCCAAGTCAGGCTCTTACTGTGGTTAGTAAGAACCACATATCAGATACTGGAAACAAGGGGCAGCACTATGAAACACAGAACACTGGTTTATTTATAAGGGGACAGTATTCTTCCTGCCATGAATCCCTTTCGTATATATTTCTACAATGCTTAATTATACTTTTCAGCTATCCTGACTTCATTTTACTCTCTAGAATGGAAAACACAATGGTTATGACACCTGGTTTACAAAAAATCTTAATGTACAATTTTAATCCAAGTGCTCCATTTTAACTAGGAATGAACATAATGGTTTTGTCCATTTAGAAAAGCAAGAGAGCTCTGGTTCAGCAAGAGAACATGATTTTGTTTCCTAGTAAGGGACTACTGAAGGAAGCACACGTGCTCTTCTGAACTTCTGAGTGCATCATGTTCCCAAACAATCCACATCTATATTTGTTTTTGCCAGATTTCAGTTCCTAATAACTCCTGAACTTTCCAAGGAATGTAGGAGGGTTTGGGGTTGCTTTTTTTTTGCCAAAGAAAATGGCAAAATGAGGAAAAGAATAATTTCTGGATTTAAGAAAAAATAAATCCTGTATTTGAGTTGATGTATGTCACCAAATAGATACTTTTTCATTGTTTACTGTGCCAAGATGCCTTTTGAATGTTTAATCATTGACTCTTCATTGCTATAACAGCTCCTTCAGTGTATGCATCATGTAAAACTGTAGCACCTCAGACAAACTAGTAAAAGTAAGATCAGAAACACACACACCATTCTCTACATTACCATATTCTACATTAAGAGTGGCTATTACTTGGTTGGTGTCTATTTTTCTCCCTCATTCCCAAATTCTTAAATGAAAACTAGAGTTCAATGGTCCTCAAGAGTGAACAGGATATCAAGATAATCTTCCTGCAAGAAAGTTTTTCAATTTTTTTTTTAAGCACGGAAGGTTAGTAAAACTAAGTCTCTTCTGGAGCTTTGTTGCAGAGATGTACTCAGGATGAGTTCTAAGGTTATCATCAAAAGTTACACTGCTTACAGTTGCTCTGCAAAGACCAGCACTCCACCTTCTGCCTACTCATGTAACAGGTGAGTACGACAAAGAGTTTATAGCATGTGGCCCTCCAGTGATAGACAGAAAGATTATCTTCTAAAATAGGTTAGAGAAATGTAATTACTACAAAATAAAGTTTTGGTGGACAGAAGCAAAAGGAGATTTACGTGTAAAGTGTAATAAGCATCTGAATTTTAGGGCAGAATAGAAGAGCCTGTTAAAATTGAATAATTCATGTTATTAAACCATTTAAATTTTAATTTGAAAACACTCAGGTAACACTGAATGCTATTACCTAAAAAATCCAGTGAAACATACCCTGTTTTCTGGATTTAACTTGAAAAAAAACCAAAACACAACAGAATGGACGCTCCAGTCCAAGAATGTTAATTAACTGAGTGCTGACCTATAGAAGTATCCAAATAATTGTTTCAAAGCAAAATTTAAGACCCAGTTCTTTTTGAGAATTTGTTTCATTGTGAGTGGCAGCCATCCTAACCGAGTGCTTTGGTTATCATATTACCAGGTTATACATGTTACTTTGCTTAGTAAGAAAAACATTGTTCTTTTATGCTTAGGTCTGAAACACAATTAAGTCAAAGTGCTTACTGAAGATGTTTCTTCACAAAATGGCAAAATATTTGTTTCCCCTAAAACTCAACCAGAAGCTGCCAGGACACCAATAGCAGCTAAGTTTTGAAATTTCATGATGAGAAGTTTCTATTCAAAATGTGCTTTTTCTAAAAATAAATTGGACCAAAAACAGCTATTGCAACATACTTTTTTGTAACCCAACTGAGATAAGTTTTAGACATGCTGGTCCCAGCAAACTGACTGTTTAATTGCTTTTATAGAAATCCTACAACAAAAACATTTTAAGGTGGTTGTTGGCTAAAACATCAAAGCTCAGCTTGGACTAACATTTCTTCAATTGACTGGCTCAGCTGGGATACACAAAGCATGCAGCAGATAAGGTAAACTTCACTTAATGGCAACCCTTGGTCTAATCAAGTTTATTCTGTCAAGGTAAAAAGCAATACATAATAAGGCAGACTGTGCTCCACAACGAACTACTCTGGTTTGGGGAGTCCTTTTATTAACAAGTGTAATAATAAATAAGGATTTAATAAACTATTAAAGGAGAAGAAAGCAATCTGAACTGTGCCATACAATATAAATTTTTGGTATTCAGAAAAAAAGAAGCGGTATTAGGAAAGCAGGAGAATTATCACACAGCATTCCTGGCTGTTATGCATGTTTGAGGGCTCTTTAGTTAAGTGCCCATTTGTACAGCAGCGTGCACGCCTCTGCCCTCACAACACATACATCAAGGTTTGTGAGCTCTCTCCATCACTACACCACAGTGGAACTTTCCTACTGAGAGGAAATGGCACCAAAAAATTACACAGATCTGGTTCACTGCTACTTAAAGTTGGGAAAAAATCTTTTACACATCCATGGATACCTGACATGACCTGCATAATGGAGAACAGATCTAACTCTAAAGATACCTGAACATTACCATAACATTCAGTAAGTTTCACAGTTCTTGCATTTCCTTAGGGAGGAAAAAAACCACAAACCCCAACATCCACCGAGGCAGCTTAACACCTATTCATTGTTTGTAAGTATAATGCAGTTATTTTCAATCTATAAACTTTTAGTGTATTTGATACTGATGATATCGTACTTGCTCTCAGGCTAATGTTACTTTGCACTGTATACAAAACTGCCTAGCACTAAAGAGAAAGCAGTACCATCAGTCCATCCAAGAGGAGATGCAACAGCTTCACCTGTGAATCCCTAGGAACCCAAATCCCAGCTGAATTCACACAGTCTCACTGCAGCTTAGTCTTCAAAACACTTTTTTTTTTCTTCAAGATAAATTTATTTTAAAGAGGGAAAAAAAGAACTGATTGTCAGTCCTTCCCAAAGCAAACCCCTTGTGGTTCACAGCTTCAGAACACAATAAGCAGAATGTCAAACTCTTCAGTGAAGTTCCTTTAACAAAGCCAAGCTCTTCCAGGATGGATATGTACACAAATAAATACACGACCTACTACTGTCATCTAAATAGAGCTTCAATCACAACATTTCTTAATCACAGATTCCCAAACCATGGTGCACAACTCATTTCACGAGCAATGTCAAGTAGAAGAAGCCACTAGTTGCCATGCAGGCAAAGACCCTTCTCTGAAGTGTGGGAACAAGCAGCTTTACAGCATGCAACCAGGACTGCACACAGCCACCACTCCCAGCAGCCTGGCCCTACGCCAGCACATCAGGAAGGATCCAGCCAATTTTGGAGCCTCCACCTCCAAGCTCAGAGAGGGCTAGACAGTGAGCCCCGCTGATTACAGGAACAGGACTGCAGACCCAATTTATTGAGGTAAGAGGTGGCTGGGACACAATGTGAGGGTGTCATGAAAGAAACAGGAGACTGGGGATGTGGAGAGATGAAAAGACAAATGCGGATTATCTCTGGGACTGACTGCCAGAGGGCAGGGAGCTGCTGCCACCAGTGCTGGCACGCACAGCTGTGAGCTCTGTAAATACACTACCACTGCAAAATATAGTAAGACACACCAATAGAGTAAAACAGATTATATATTTCATTTTACCTCAAAGTATAGATCCAGAATAATTGACAAAAAGGAAAACATATTTTAGTTGGTGCAATACACGCTGCTGGAGACAGCTCCACTTGTCAAAACTCCACTTGAATTTGGACAATAAATAAAGACTCCATTAACAGGCTGAGCAACATTTCAACATCCTACAAGACAGATGAACACTAACACAGACTAGGCAGGTCCTTTAAAACCTGTTTTTGGTATATCATTAATTACACTATACTTTTCTTTATTCCTGCAAGTCATCTGCTTCTTTCCCTTCTACATTTGCCAAGGGAAGCTGTGTCACCAAGGGAGGCTGCTTGGGAGCTGGCCCAACCCTCAGCAGAGTGGCAGATCTTGGCACATGGGGCCTTTTCCTCAGGCAGGGAATTACCAGGGCAGTGGAGAGACCCACCAGGAGCCAGCAGCTTTCACAGCTGACCAGACCTGGGCATTGCCAGGGCCACCGTGACCACCACCACACCTGTAAAATTCCATCAGGGAAGTGCTAAGAGGCCAGAGCGGGCATGGGAGGACAGCGAGGGCCTGGCATGGCAGCTTGGGCAGAAGGTGCACAGGAAAGGCATAGTGAGCCTACTAGCTCAAGAGGTGAGCTCACTGCTGGTCATCACCTTCTCAGAAGGAGCTTAGCTATGGTATCCACCTGAAGGGACACTCTGTGCTGTGCACTCAGCAGAATGGATGTGGCAACTCAGAGAGAGCTCCCATAAATCATGCAGGTGCCCAGGTCTTGGGCTGCAAGGTGTCCCAGAGCCTTTCATTGGCAAGAGATGGCAGGGAAGTGTGAGGTGCAAAAAGGCGGACAATCTGCTCAGCCTGGTGGCAGAGCTCCAAGGAAAACTAGAAAGGTTAAGGAGCATTAGGGAGGCTGAGAAAGAGATAGACTGGTGAAGCCATGCTCTGCCCTTCCCTAGACAGAAGAGCCACCAGCAAAAAAACAAGAACATGGGGGCCCTGTATCCTCTCCCCCACCAGGCAGATGGCAGTAGCTTAACTGAAAGGAGTGAATGGAGGCAAGTCCACACTTGGGGCTGCAGGTGAACCCCCTCCTTGCCTTCCCAGGTGCCCCTCTACAACAGGCATGAGGCTCTGGATGTGGAAGGTTAATCAGTGGATGATAGTCTGTATCAGAGGTGCTGTAAAGGTCAGATAGGCCTATTCCCTGTACCATGATTACCTCCATCAGGAAAAAAAGATAGGTTATAGTCGTAGGAAACTCCCTTCTGAGGGGAACAGAGGATCCAATATGCCATACAGACCATCCTCTTTGAGAAGTCTGCTGCCTCCCTGGTGCATGGGTTAAGAACATTGCTAGGAAACTTCCTAGCCTGGGACTGCCCTCAGACTATTACCCATTACTGATCTTCCATGTGTGGAGCAGTTAAGGTGCAACACATAGTCCAAAGGCAATCAAAAGAGACCTCAGGGCTTTGGAATTGTTGGTGAGGAAAGCCAGGCCACAGGTTATTTTTAGCTTCTCTCCTTCCAGTTGCAGGCAGTGAAACTGGATAAAACAGATGGACACAGTCTATTACATGGCTCCATGGCTGATGTAATCACCACAATTTTCAGGTTTTTGATAATGGGATGACCTACATGGCACCAAGCTTGCTGGTGTCAGATGGGATTCACCTTCTCAGAAGAAGAGGGTGTTTGCTCAAGAGCTTGCAGGCCTCACTGACAGAGCTTTAAACTAGATTTGAAGGGGGAATGGAAAATATCAGGCTTCCCCTTGACAAGCTGTGGGATTACACATCAAGGTTAGAGAGATGGGGTGCTCATGAGGGCCCTCAGCCTGTTGCTCAGAGACATGCTAGATACACTGCAGCACACAAAGACTTACAGAGATGAGCCAGGGGCTCCTGAGGTTATATGAGCCTACAGGGAAAAAACAGATAAATACCTCAAAGGAACTTCAGCCACTCCAGCCAGTAAGTCAGCTTCAACAGGGGCCCAAGTTAAATGCCTCTATACAAACAGATGTAGCAAGGGGAATAAACAAGAGGAGTTAAGAGACATGTGTGTGCCTGCAGTGCTGTGATCTTACTGGCATCACAGAGACATGGTGGGATGGTTCCTATGACTGGAGTGTTGGAATGGAAGGATCCAGGCTCCTTAGGAAGGTCAGGCAGGGGAGACGAGGGGTATTGCCCTCTCTGTCAATGACCAACTAGGGTGCATGAAGCTCTGCCAGGTGATGGATTAGGAGCTGATAGAGAGCTTATGGGTTCGGGCTAGTGGGAGGGCAGGAACAGGGAACATTATAGTGGGCATCTGCTACAGACCACCTGACCAGGAAGAGAGAGTGGACAAGGAAGAGTGTAGATTTAGGTTAGATATTATGAAGAAATTCTTTAGTGTGAGGGTGGTCAGACACTGGAACAGGCTCCTCAGAGAAGCTGTAGATGCCCCATCCCTGGAAGTGTTCAAGGCCAGGCAGGATGAAGCTTTGAGCAACCTAGTCTAGAGGAAAGTGTCCCTGCCCACAGCAGGGGGGTTGGAACTTGAGGATCTTCAAAGTCCCTTCCAACTTCACATTATATGATTCTATGATACTCCTTCAATTACTGGTATGGTAACACTAAAGGTTCTATTCTCCACTGTCGCCAAACATAAGGAAACAAATGCCTTCCCTGCACATTTTTTAAAACAACAGTATAGATCAAGGAGACACTAAGCAAATATTACTAGAGGGAGTAATGCTGGAAATGCTGGAGAGGATGTATTAGAAGCCTGAAGAAAATGAACTCATTAATGGGGCTACTATGGTGGGGGAGAACTCCAGGGCAAAACTTCTCAGGAATACTTTTCACAGATTTGTCAGTCCCTACAGAAAATCAAATTCAGGGAATCTTTAATACTAAACACTATGTCAGATTTGTGAAAATTAAAGTATAAAATGTGGGTAGTCACCCAGTAAACTAGAAGCAGCAGTTTATCAAGTAAAATACCTACAGGATCTACAGGTGGCAACAGGTCTTTTTTCTCTTGTTCATCTTCCTCTTCATCTGTGCTATATTCTTCCATTGTTTCTCCACTTGCAAAATGAATAACCCTCCTTGGAATTTTCTTCTTCTTTCCTATGACACCCAGCTCCACATTCTCAAAGTCTCTCTCTCCATTTACAAGTTGCTATAAAGAAGAAAAAAACATTATCTCAAGTACATGCCTCTGGAACTGGAAGAGTTTCCCCTTGGAAAAACTTAGTGACATTTTAAAAAGACTTCAGATTGATCAGCATATATAATGCACATTTGCAAGAGCTTTGCTATAAAAAAGTTAAGACTGAAACACTGTTGGCAGATATGTAAAAAACTGATCTTTTCACTAAAAATAGTAATAAGTGCCTTCACTTTGGAATGGACATGTGGTATTAAAAACATGTAGTATGAAAGAGCAGTGTAGGAGTTTCTTAGCAGGACACTTTTCCTTAAATAATTGGATAAGCATGTAAGTGCTAGTATTTTAAAGTATCATTGGTTTCAGAATTAACATCTAGTGAAAATAATCAAGTAGTTCATAGCCTGTAGCCATCCCTTTGCAAGCTGAGACACCTCTAGCACAAAAGAGAACTGAATGAAAGACAACTAAGAAACCAGACTCAAGCTTTAAAAAGAAATCAAGAAATCTGCCTCTGTGGGCTTTCATCAGCAATCACGATTAGTACTAGGGACCATGCTAAAAGAACAACACCTAGTTTTGTGACTAAGAACATATAAAAAGAGAAGTACAATGTCTGGTTTTGTTCTTCCAGCTCATTAATACTACAATGCAGTCTTTGGGTCACAAGCATTAAAAAAATATACTTCTAGTTTCAAGGCAAATCAATAATTCTTTAGGATAGTAACACCCATGGCCAGAGAATTGTAGTAATGTTTTGTATCATATCTATTAAAACACAGGCTTCAAATGCATAAAACTTGAAAACACTTCTGTCACACAGAGAAGGACACAGAAGTTAGGAAATGCCAGCCACACATTTTTAACATACCACAAAGGTTTTTTTTTAAATGCATGAGCTCACATAGCTTCAAATGGTATCATAACGGATGAGATATGTGTATGAGTACACAGAATTCAAGTTACATAAAGGAGGCACATTCCAATATCCAACTTCTTGTCTATGCAACCTTAACTGTCTCCATAGAGACAAATCAAAATTATCTATAAAAATACGTATTGTATCACACAGTTGTAAGACATCCCATGATCACAGCAAGCACAGCAGTACCATTCCCATCTCTTGTACTAGATAACGTAAATCAGCTTTACAATGCAAACAGGCTCAGTTAGCTGGGAAAGCCTGTGGGCACAGTACTGAGGGGCAGGAGGGACTGCAGGAAGCAGAACTGCTTCCTTCACTTCACAGGCACAGATTTTTCTCATGTTCCCAGAGAAGAGGGAGGGAAGGTCACGTGCCAGCTCTACAGTGTGGAGAGGGAATGCATATATTCATTGTCTCTCCCAGCCCTTGTTCCATTGCTTCTCAAAACTGCAAGTCATTTCAGCTTCCCCCAGCATCTCTTTAGCTACCATGGCACACTTCAGGTGTTTCCTGTGAGGAGCAGAGCAGAACTGGTGGCAAGTTTCAATTGGGTAATTCAGCAGTTGTTCAAGACAGCAAGGATTCATCAAGGAATGATGAATCTGTCCCCTTAGTAATCTGGCTCAGAGTCCTAAATTATTAAATAAACTAATAAAGATTGGCTGTTCTTTGGTTATTACCTAGTCCACAAACCTCTATGTGGGTTTTACTCTACACTGTAGCACTTGTCCTTAGCATCTCTAGATTTTATTTATCTTTTCAAAACTGTGGCAGTGCAGATCTATTCTAGAACTGTCACCTAGACTCACTTTATAGCTCAAATGTTACAGTAATCCCCATTTGAGGCTTTATACTTTTGATATTCCTTTACAAATTGGATGTTCTTTCCCAATTCAAGAAGTTGTCAGGAAGATCATTCTTCTATGATCTTTGGTCAAGTTGCCATCTGATTTTTTCCCACAGGCTCATCCCTTTCCAACATATCATATGGGTCCTGAAAGACTCAGTATTTGTCTTAACATTATGCCACACAATGTTTACTTTGGCTTCTATTCTAGGAACTATTAGACAATGAAGGCCAGACATCCTTATGCTCTCGCCACATTAGCTGACACTCTTAAGGTACTCAGTGGACACTGTAAAGCAACTTCCTTTTTCTTTTAGATGCCCTCTTGGAATTTTTCTTGGCTTTATGGCACCCATACAAACCTCACCTGCCAGGAAGTCAAGTGTCTGAAACTGCTGCTCCTTGTTTACCCTTCTTTACACCCACTCACTTTTCTCAGCCTTTGGCCAGAAACAGAGAGAGGGCAGGGCACATTTTGGGGGTGTTAGTACAATACCCAGCACAACAGCACTTCAGTCCACAACCAAAATGCCAAAATAACTAACTACAATTAAGGATGAGGTGTGCCAGGGCACCTGTGAGTAAGCCTGGGGAGCTGACACGATTAATATCAGGTGATGCAATAATGCAAAGTTACATCAAGGAGAGGAAGAAGAAAACCAAAAAGTAATAGGGAGATGATTCGCATTATCATCTTTTAATCTGTCAAGTGTGGATATCATTACAATATGACTGAAAATGCCAGTCTGCCATGGCCACTCTTCCTTAGAAAGATGATTAATTCAGTCTGGACAGATCTACTGACCTGACAGCACTAGTTACCAGAAGGCTGGTAACTGTTAATGTTTCTACCCAGGCTATCTTGCCTGCCTTACTGATTTAATTCATGCTACTTTTCTTGGCTGCATTTTTTTGGCGGGGTTTGTTTGGCTTCTTTTTTTTCGTACTGCTTGACTTTCCACCCTTGCGTTTCACCTGCAGTTAAAAAGCGTGAATCTTTCTGAAACAGCAGACAATAAAGGGTGACTGTAAGAAAAAGCACCCTCCGAACAGCAGGCCTTGGGAAAGGGCCGTAACCAGCGAAGGCGCAGTGCAAGAAACACTGGGAGAAGCCCAGGCCGCTGGGAGGGACATCTGTGCAAGGGCCAGGAAAGCTGACCAGGTCACACTCTGATTAAGAGCTGGTGTCCGTGACCGC